GATATCGCTCCACCGGCTCACGCAACGCCGGTGTCCACCCCCAATCCTGCAGCCGCGAGTCCAGCTGCTGCAACACCCGCAAACGGCGCGTTCTGCCGTTGATGTAGTCTACGCAAACACCGAGGGCCGAATCGTCCTGCTCGTGCAGCTTCAAAGTGCGGACGTCCTCCAAACGCACTTCGCGCATTCCGAGCGGTCCATTCTCGACCGCCATTTGCCCAACGCCTTCATCCTTGATCTTGATGTTCGGCGCTGCTTGCACCCCTAGCGCCGCTTGCCCAACCGGCGGCTCTTGAACCTGTACCACCGCGGGTGTCGCTCCCGCGCCTGCTGTCCCCGCTTGGTCGTCGGCAGCCTGCGCTGCCTGTGCTTCGGCCTCGGCTATTGACTCAGCCATTGACTCTTCGGCCGCCTGCTCCATCTCCCGCTGGAGCCGCATGTCTTCCTTTCTGTGGCGCTCTTCCAAGGCCACGATCTCGTTCCGCAGGAGCTCCCGCACTGCCATAGGTCCCACCGTGCGCAGCGCCGTTTGGACCAAGTCGGCCGCTGCCTGGTGCTCCGCATGGATCCGCTGCTCCTCCTTCTTCATGAACAGATCAAGCAGCGGATCTTCACTGCCCGTCCGGAGCCGCTGGGCTCCCGCGAAGAAATACTCATCACTGTCTGAGTCGTCACCGGTCAAGTCCACGACCTCTTTGGCCTTCTTCCGTTGGTCGTCGGTCATGCCGTCAAATTCAAGAATGCCACCCACGGTGAGTGAAGTTGTCGATCGCCAGTTGGCCACGTCCAACGGCCATCAACCACGCGCCAGTTGATCTGCATCTTCCCATATTCTCGTTTGAGTGTGGGAGGTTGTCACAGTTCCGGATACAAGATCCGGATCCACGTGGCCGTACCACGGCATACAGGTTGAAGACAAACCCACGAGCGGCCAACGACGCCGCTACGTGCCAAGGAAACAGCAAAGGGTTCGCCGCCCCTTTGCTTCGGACCACCCCCGGCCCTTTACGTTTACCAGCTCAAGATGGCTGGTCCTGCTTAGCTTAGTCATAGCGTTAGATTGTTATAACGCTATCAAATCACTTCTCATTTTACCATCTACTGCGCCTTCCTCTGCGCCCGCACGTTTACAGATACTATGTAGTCCATCCATTGTTTTCATCGACGATGCCGGTATGGTATCATGTATACTTTAACTTTTGTTATGTTAACTATAATGACTGGTGTTTCTACTTTAGTTATAGTCTACATAGAATTGAACAATTTACCAGATTCTGGGCGAAGTGTATGTTCAAAAGAGGTACAGTACGTAGTAGTTCATAGTGAAGGGGGGACAGGTAGTGTGAGCAGAGGAAGACGCAGGAGATGGTAGAATCGAGAATGAATTGATAGCGTTAAGACTACTACGCTATCACTAAGCTACGCGCAACCAACCATTAATGTATCGTCGGAGGAACACCTTGGTTGCGCAAGAGGACTTTTGGTGTGCGAAGAGACACCTTGGACTGAAGAGGTGTCGACTAGTCATCCGGTTATTAACCGGATGATGGGCACGGTTACAGGTAGTATAGGGTGGTTAGCGTGGCGAATATTGGACACTAGCGTTAACGTTTAGCTAGGGGCCGCTATAATGTATCTACACTACTTGTAGTTGGCAATTGATTGAATAGTTGATGATGTCTGAATACAACATGCAGTCTCCCCCTTGCACTGTAATAAAGCCCTTTCCCAACAAATATTTTACATGCAACACTGTATTACGTGTGGCTGCTGTTGGCTTACATAGTATAATATGTAGAATATTCCACAGATCCCCCCGCATCAAGTTGAATCCTAGCCTGCCCGACACCACTGCAAGCACTGTACACTTAACAC